TCATATATATACATACATACATACACACACACACACACACACACGTATATATATATATATATATATGTATATATACAATTGTATATACATTTCTATATAAATAACATACGTACATACATATACATACACACACACACACACACACACACACACATATATATATATATACAAATATTTGCATACGTATATATTACCATGTCTACCATGTCGACCCACAAATAGATATTGAAATTGATAATACATATTTCGCTCTAATTAAATTTACATGCCAGTCAATCTATCGTCTATGAGAGGAAATGAAAGACAAAAACCGTGCTATACACAGAATGATGAGAGATAAAACAATTATATATAAATTCCTACGTACGTTCAGCGATATACTGTTGAGAACATAAACGCCTTTCAATCGGCCTCCATAGTTCACAAACCCCTTCGCTTTGAGATAGTTGCGTATCCCTGACTCTTAGCGAGAAGGATTTATATCATTGTAACAGAACACAATATAATCTAATCCATTTCGATGCGAATAACCTTTCTCTGCAGATATATACACACCTCTACGTGTGAGAAGACCACCCAAGGTGAGAACGTATTCAGATATAAAATACTGAAATGCATATACACCCCACTATCGCCATAAATACACCCAATTTATATTTACCTCTCAACGAGTGCCGCCTCGATAGTTTGTTACCCATGTTGGCGTCGTAGTATCTTCCAGGAACTAGCTAGCAAAGTATGGCTCAAGCAAACATTAAGGGTTTAACTTCAGTCAAGTGTAGTATGTATGTTTTTTATTAGTTTTTACAAGTTGTAAAAAATATTTAATCTATTTATTTATATCCAGTGTTTATTTACCCTTATCGACATCACCGCACGATTCGGCATTAGCAACGTCCCCACCAGCCACCAAACGGCAGACAGGAGGCAGAGTGCAGACTGCAGACACAGAGTGAAACTTTGAAAAAAAGTAAAAGTAAACAAAAAAATTGATAGGAATTTCTGGTCCCGGCAACACGGCCGTTCGGGTGGCGGGGTGTTTAAAAATATATAGAACGAGCAGTCAGCGGAGAGATGGTATGACCCATGTTATTTTGAAAAAACAAACAGGACTGCTACATATGTACAAACAGCCATTTTTTTCACATGATGATTGTTGAGCGAGGATGAATAAATACCTTGCGGAAATGATTTTCATGTCTTTTTAATTTGCATCCAGCAGCAATTTCTCTAGAGAGGTAGAGAGCCATACATATTGCATATTCTTCTTACATGTGCCTGTGTGTATGTAAGTAGCCTCTTGAAGGGCACTCAGATTTGAAAGCGAAAAGAAAGAGAGATGGGTAGAAAGAGGTCCGAAGGACCCCTTTCACAGGCCTTTATGGGGTCTCCTACATAACCTTTTCTATGGCCAATATCAGCTAGCAAAACTGCATAAAACACATTGTGCTGCAAATGCATACTTTGTATTATTGCAGTTAAATCATCGTTTATAATAAAGTATAGGGGCACATATATGAGAGGATCTGCACGTACAACGAGTGGTAAAATAAAAAGCCTGAACACCGGTTTAATGAAAAGGGGGATAAAACATTTGAAACCGCCGAAACGGAATAATAATTACTTTCAATATTTATAAAACAAATAAATTCCTGTTCTTGGCAGCATTGCAAGTTACTACGATAAATACTGCCCGTGAATTCTTACAGAATAGGCAACGGCACTGTTAAATATATATACAAAAAATCTATCGATTACAGGCGATAAGTGTGTAGGATCATGTAGAATATACATATCTTCGCGACATTGTTTAGATCGACTGAGAGTGTGACCATGTGCACACATAGACGTAAGGGTATTTTAGGTACAACAAACTTGTGTAAGTTGTTCGCACTGACGAGTATTGGACTTAACAAGTTTAGACAACTTCAATGCTATCGGTCGTACGTGGCGGTTTGTATGATCAAACAATTTCCGCTGAATTACCTTTTCGTACATACGCATACATACATACATACCTATACATATATATGCATATATGTATATATATATATAATATAATATACAAACATACACATACCCACACCCATATATATATATACATACATATATATATATATATATATACATATATATATATAGATATATAAACCAACAGAATTCTATACCCACACCCATATATATATAATAGATACACACATGTATCGATTCAAAAGTATATCGTACTGTATTCGAATATGTATGTGCGCGTGTTTACGCAATATATATTGTATATAAATAGTTTCGATGTTATACTCAATGTAAATGGTGTAATACCGATTATTGCGTTTGTGAGGTCACTTACGCAAAACACGTTTTCATCGTACGCCACACGCGAATTCATCTATTACAGAAAAGCTATTATTTCACTATGTTGGTGTGCCCTAGCGAGGATACTCAAAAAATACGTGCAATCAATAAGCGATGCTGAACACACGTCAATGTTTAAGTACTCAACATACGTGCAACAGAAGGTCAATCCGAAGAAAAATTACATTACCAAGAGTCATTTGTGTGTGCGCAGCCCTCCTTTCATAGCCTTATATAAAAACAAGGTTATACCCCTTTCCGCATCTTTTGGGGATGAACTTCCATAGAGACGGTCGACCAACCCTGCACCTTAAAAGTGAGAAGAATGAGGCACGCTGGTATCTGGAAACTCTATGATACCAAGCGTACTTTAATGTTCACCAGTAGTATATCCATGTGCGGTGTATTAATATTACAGCAAAGTACTTATGCACAGTCATAAGGCGGAAATACATACCTACTAGAATAAATAAAGCATTTTATAATCAATTTTAATTGTGTAGAGGTTCTTTCTCGCCCTTGCTACAGTGTTTCACATTATCTGCGTGTAGCATAACGTGTTCTGCTCCCAGCTCAACACGAGTACAAACCATACATACTCACAACAGCACATACACGCTTATGCTCGTAAATCTCAGTAAGTCTTCAACGTCCTGCAACCATGTACTCTAATCGGTCACACTCTACTTGAACTCGCAGGTGGGGGGGAAAGTGCATCCAGAGTACTTGATGATTAATTGCGCAGCCCAGTGGCCACAGCGGACAGACTCTTCCACGCTATTTCCCTTCGCCACCTGTGATAGGAAACCAGCCACGAACGCATCTCCTGCAGCGTTTGTGTCTACAATCTCGCTTTCATCTAGTCTGTTTACGTCGTATTTAGTCACATTCCCGTCCTTAGCGATTACTGTGCAGTCGGGTCCCTGAGTGAACACCACCATGCGACTCACGCCTGTATCACCTTCCTTGGGTAGGGCAGCAATGGCAAGTGCAATCTTTCCTACATCTGTTAGGCCTAGTCCGTTGGCCTCAGAGTATGCGGCGGCCTCGGACTCGTTTCCAAATACGATGTCACAATAGGGTAGTGCGGCAGCCATAGGTTCCTTGAAGAACTGAGGCAGGAAGGGGGCTGATAGGTTCATGCAGAACAATTTGTTGGACTCCGCGAAGTGCTTGGCAACACGCTGAATAGTGGGCGGCGACACTGTCAGGAAAAACGATGAAATGTAACCAATATCTGCAGACTTTACTAGGTCCCAGATACCCTCAGAGTCCAAATGACTCTCCTTGTAGTTGTTGGCAGCGGCTAGATTGGCTACCATTGAACGATGTTGTCCCGTGATGCATACTGCGCATGTGCCAGTAGGTGTATCTGCATCACGCAGGTATGCGGTGTGCACACCGTCAGCCTCGGCCTGGTCACTCATGATCTTTGCGTACTCATCGGTTCCTACGCATCCAACCATGGTGGTTAGACCAGGAGTTTTCTGTAGAAGCCATTGTAGAACACGCATAGTATTTTGGGTGGCACCGCCGGGAATGAAAGCAGCCTTATAGTTCTTTGCCAATTCCTCGTACATAGGAACGTGCTTCTCGTCTGCCAAGATAGCATTGTCGGCCTCAAGATCATACTTCTCTAGGAATGCCTGGTCAACATTGGCGGATATATCCAGCAAGGGATTACCGAATCCGATGATTTTCTTAGGCATTGGTACAGTCATTGCTTGCTATTGAAGGAGGTTGAAGAGGCAAAGTGTGTATGGACCACTGTGTGTGCGATTGTGTTATTCCGAATATTCTATCTCTCGATGTGCACATCCAATTATCCAAGATCAACCAAAGTGACCAGCGCACAACGGAATTGTTTTTTCAATAGTTTTTGTTTTCGCAATACTGTAGTTCATATTTACTTCATTGAGACACTCCTAAATAAAAGATGTCGTAGTGTCGCCTTTTTGTGAAACTGCCGGCACCAATTAGTTTATAGAAAAAAATTAACACAATCGAACATAAATATTTACATATATAAATAAACGTGTTTTAGAAATCGGAATAAATGTAGCATGGGATCAGAAGTAACGCATGGCAACCAACTATTTAGCGAAATATTGACAGTACGTTTTCACTATTATTCGTTTCCATCGCTTGCATCTGTCATTTTGATTTATATACCAAAACGTAAAACACCTTGGGCAAAACGGGATTTGTTTTCGAATAATATGGTTGAATATTCACTGGCGAATGGCTTTGCCGTTTTAATTGGATAGAGGCTGTGTTTAGGGTTTTGTCCAATAAAAAAAACTTGAAAAATTGATTATGTTTAGACTTTGGTGTATTGTATTGAGCTATTTTTAGATTGCTGGTTCGTGTCAAACTGTCAATTGGATAAATGTGAAAACTGAAATTGTCAACACAAAAAGACGTGAACTTCGAAAGAAATATTTATTAGTATCTCGCTTCTTCTTGTGTGAATATCACATAAATACAAAAAGACAGAGAGACATCATGAGTTCATGAGTCACACCGCCTGTGTTGGCTCGTGGCTGTGTAAAGGAAAAGAAAATAGCTGGACTATATATATATCACCAGTACCAAAGAATCGACAGTTTCTGTCGATTTTCAAATTTCTATTTTTATATAAAAGTGATGCAATTTCCTCTCTCGATTACAACACTCCACAGTCCAGGCCACGGTATCGGAGTTTGCAAACAAATCGACCAGCGTGCATTCACACAGTCACATACAGTCACGCATATTAGATGAAAATGCATAGTATAACATATACATAGCAAATAATAGTTCCTCTACCCTGGTGTATTTCATGTTGATCGTCATTTGAGATAAGCATACGTTGCAAGGAAAATTAACTTCTGAATGATCGACAATAAAAAGTTCTCAAATATCATATAAAGCTCGTCTATACAAGACCACCTCAGAAATTCCTTCATATTCTATCGGCCATGACCTATACATAATGTGCCTAGACTCTCTTCAACATCACTGGAGCAAAGTAAGACTAAGCACCACAATAATTGAATATCTCATCGTATTTGAACAATCTTTTCAGTCTCTCAGACCGCAGTATCCTGTTTTTGTGTCAGGATGTTCGATTTTTACGTTTGCGGATAAAACTTAATGTAAATACATGTACGCTATAAATAGTTGTAGTGTATATGACAAAAAGGAAAGAGTAGAAATTTCACTATTCTATCGACTTCAGCTAGACATTTTCTATTTATCAGCCACGTCGTTTAACACCACAAATCATCATGCAGTATGATTCTCAATTAGAAGCTCAAATAGTAATTTAAAATAAAACAAGTTAGACACAAATCAACGATGTGACGTGCTCGTCAAATAATTCGTTTTTGGTCTTCTCTCTGATTTGCTTTTGATAAAATAACCACAAAAAATGTACACCTCCCATACGCACTACGACGGCAAACAAGTACGCATGACTACACGCTTCCCACATTGTTTGCTGTCAAGTAACCTAAAGAGACCCTACACCCCTACAAGGGTATTGACGAATTCAGTATTTTTATAGACCCACACACCTTTACATTGTAATCACGCTTACATTTTTGGTGGGGGTTTAGTTGTTCAGTGTATATTTATGTTTAAATTTAGACAATTCTCTCGAGACTAATAGGGAAAATAGAGCTGAACAGCTTGTCCATTACAATGGACTTGTTCGTATATCTATAGCCAAGAATTTTCTATTTAGGTTTGCGATTTTGTCTATATCTATATCTATATCTATATCTATGAATATATATATATATACATGTATATATATATATATATATATATATATATATATAAAATATATATATATATATAGATATATAAATTCGTACATATATATATATATATAAATATAAATTCGTATACATATATATATATACATATTTATATATATATTCGTATACATACATACATACATACATACATATATATATACATATTTATTCGTATACATATATATATATATATATATTCGTATATATATATATATATATATATTTACATATACATATACATAAACACACACACACACACACATATATATATATATATTCAAAGTATACATTCATACATACATATCATGCATATAC